TTATTATGCTGGTAATTTTGGTGGATTTAACACTAGAATAAGAGAAGAGAAAACGACAGAACCACTATTTATTTTTCCACCGGTTGTGCACCAGAATGTACACCAGAAAGGTTTCCAATGTATTATATACATCGGAATCATATAGATATACTCATTATTCATCATATTCAAATGATAAAAAGGGTGAATGTTCGCATTTATATGGAAATATTAGTACAAAAATGTCAATACAACTATTAAATCCTGCTTATCAAAATTTTGCCTAAATATCTTGTTTACATCTATGAATTTCTTGCTTTTTTCCTACACAATTTTTATAATCCTAATTCATCTCATAGGATCCTTTCTTAGTTCGATAAGCTATAAGTTCTACTCTCAACATTAGATAAGGAGGTACTAGAATAACTACAATATTTTCTTTAAGTATAACTGACCATAGTAGGAACCTTTATTCTTTGGATTTTATCCCTCATAAAAGTAACCTCTTTTATGCTAAATATGGATTAGTCCCATTAGACATAATCAGTGATATGTGTCAACAATTTTTTTTTTTCAATCAATTATTTGTTAGCATAATACAATTGATTATGAGAATTATTCTAACTATATGGCCACTAGTTTGAAACATAATAAAACTAACACTTGATCTTGCAAGAGCTTATGTTGGTCTTCCAACTTATTATCCCACCTCTAAGGCAAATCTTTGATTGGTTGGAATCTTTAAGACTAGGTTACCTAACTTTAGATGGCCATTAAAATAAACAAGATTTCCATTGAACCTAAGCTTAATCTAATAGAAGTTTTTAGAGCATAATTGATTTAAGCATTGAAATTAGAAGAGTTACCTTTGCTAGCTCTTTTGAATGGATCTTATATGCTTCATGGGAACAAATTAACTCTTTGTAGTTCTAGTTAACCCTTTTGATCCAACCCAAACCAATTTACCTTCATGGCCCAATCCAACTAATCTCAGCTATATTGATCAAAGTTATTGCTCTATCTACCTTAGAAAAAAATATTCTAATGGATCAACTATAAACACATTACCCTCAACTAAACCCTAAATAAGTCAATTTTCTAATTTAACCACATTTCCCTATTTGAAATATATTGACTAGTTTAACTCTAATTGATAAAATTAATGGGATCAATCATCCTTAATCATTTATTACATCCCCACTAAATCCAATCAATCTTTAGATGAATCCATTTAACCCAATTAGATATTTTATTTGAGTCAATCCCATTATTTAAAGGGATTTCATCTTTTGAGAGCTATTAGATCAATTTTGTTAAATTTAATTAAATTAAACTTTTATTGGATATTCTTAAGTAATCCATATACAATTGTACCTTTAGGACACATTAATGTGACTTTAATCATGGAAGGTTAACACTAAACTCATTTAAATACAACATAACCATGTGGATTTGGAGCCCTTTATTCTTCTAACCAATGAAACCTATATAATCAATAAGATGTTTCTAAGCTAGAGTAAATCCATATGTTTCAATTGTGCCCATGGGTTGGCCAATTGATCAACATAAGTGAAATTTGACTGAATAAACCATCAAGATTCTTAATTAACAAAAACATATCAAAACTTCAAATCAATAAACTTAAATGAAGTAATGGTTCATAATATGATGTCTATAGATATTAAGTATCTTCACATAACCAATAAACCCATCAATCAGACCAAATGAGCTCAATTAACCCAATTGAATCCAAATGGGTCAAATGATCCAAATTAGCTTTAAAACTTAAATTGATTTAATTTGTTGTACTTGTGGCTTTCCCAAGGTGAATTTGTTATGAATAAATCATGATCAAACCAATTTAAATATTAGTTTGGCAATATTTTTTTGAAATTGCAATTTTAATAAGGGGCCATTAACATGCAGATCAAATGATCAAACTATGTTATTTGAGGTATGTTTGGGGAGAATGCAACATTATTTTAAGGTGGTTGTAAAGATTCTAAAAAGAAATTAACTTTTTTGGAGCTGTTGTAAAAGCATCTTCCTAACATAAAAATTTATTGAAAGCAGTGAAAAGGTAGTAGCCAAATAATAATTGTTGTTATGTTTGAAAAATAAAATAGTAAAATTTTATCCCAGATGAAGCCTTAATTTATCTAAAATAATTAACAAATATAAAGATAGCTTTAATTAACTTACTAAAATCTTCTAGGAGACTCTTGGCCTATCTAGAGTCTTCCAAAACCTTTCAATGTCGTATGACCCAAATTAGGAATGGTTTTAAAGGACTTTTTGACCTACACTCAACATGTCAAGCCTAAGGGTTTATCCATACTACTTGTTCAATCTTTTGGGTGCCATATCCTCCCCCACTTATTCTTGTGATGCCCACATCGCGAGCCTTTTTCAAGCCAAGTCGAAGCTCCTTGGATCACCATAGGCCCATCTTGCATATTTGGCTCCCTTGGTCCTTCACCTTTTTCTTTAGTTTTGCTTCAATGTCATCCGATAGTTAATTAAGCTTCCTTGGCTCCACCTTAGGCTGCTCCACTAGAAAGATATCTGAAGGTGCATTAACGACTTCTATCATCCCTATTGGAGAGCCTTTAATATGAACTTCTAACCAACCCCCATGCATTTGATGGAAATCACAATCCCTTAGTATATTTTCCATGACTTGCAACTCCTCACCATTGGAGTTGTCTCCCACTTGTCCATGATCTCATATCATTTGTGTAGCCTCCACTTGCATGACCTAATCACCACTTTCACCATTCATCACCCCTTGATGCTTTATGAGGAGTTTTAGGGCCAACTGAGGATAATTCCTTATGTAATGTGGTCCTACATAATCAAATCAAATGTTCTAGATCCTTCTCCACTCTTTTTTAACCTTTGGCTTCATCCTCCCATTGTCCATCACCCTTGTGATGTTATGGCTAGCCACCTCCTTGCCTTGACCCATATATATCTCTCACAGCTCTAGCCAGCAAGCATTAAGTTATTCCATAAAGAAACTATGGCTAGTGGTGGATGTCTCTTCCAAGGCATGCCTACATGAAGTTATAACCTCGTGTAGGTCCCCAACTTAAGCTAATGTCCCATTGAGCTCCTTCTTGAGGTCTCCATCCACCTCCACCTTGACAATTAAGAATTCCTCCAATTAAGACACTATGCCTCTTCTCGTAGCTTGGATGGTGGAACCTTGTTCCATTAGGCTACTCCCATCTTCACCAATATCATCCATCTAAGCCCCCATGTTATTCACATTCTTTGTCTGCCGAGGTAAATGTGAATCAAAACTAGATATCCCCTCTAATCCATTCCTTGGCTGTCCCATGATAACTACATGCTTGGCATACCAACCTTGCCTCCTATTAACCTTGACCACTATCTTGGCCCATGCCTTGTCGTTGGATTGAACAGGATCTGATACAACTTATCATGGAGAAGCATTGCCCAAGTATGCCCATTCAACCTTAGAACTCCTTCCTAATGCTAAGTCAACCTAAAACTCACACAATGCTTGGATAGAGAGCAAAGAACGCTAGAAAGAGAGAAAGTAATCGGGGAAAGCTTCACTATTATAAGATAAATTTTATAAGAGGGGTTGGAAGGGTTTTGAGGAGTTTTGTCCTTTTTGGAGTTGATCACAAATGAAGGGGAGTGTCCTATTTATTGCTCTCCTCCCATGCCAGAGAACAATCAAGAGTTCCCTTCATTATTAATGATTGTGGAGTTCTCTAGAATATTTCACATTATTCCCTACACTCTTACATAATTCTATAAAATTCTAGAGATCGTTCTAGAGTATCCTAAATTACTCTGCAAATTTCTACACCATTCTAGAACATTCTAGAGCATCTAGAATCTTTTAGGAGACTCTTGGCCTATCTAGAGTCTTCCAAAACCTTCCAATGTCCTATGACCCCATATAAGAAGGGTTCTTGAGGACTTCTTAGCCTCCGCTTGGCATGTTACACCCAAGAAGTTTAGCCAAACATTTTGTTTTATGTTTTGGGCACGACATTATGCATCTTATAAAGTAAATGGTGGGATCAAAGTTTTATATATGTATATAAGGGTCCGTTTGGGATGATTGTGATTTTTTATACAGACGATTGTAAAGCTATTCTGGACAAAGTAACTTTTTTCTTAAAAAATTGTTATAGAAAATAACTTCCTGGTATAAAAATTTCTTAAAAGTAACAAAAAAAAAATTGACCAAATAAAAATTATGATTATAGTCTGAAAATAAACAATAAGAATGTTGTCCCAAATGAAACCTAAATTGTTAATTAAATTTATTATTGGACCCATCATTGCCCATCTAATAATAGCATTTCTAAATTTGAATGGTTTTTCTAATATTTAAGAAGCAATTATTCTGATATTTGGTGTTAAATCATTCAAATACACATTTAGCCTTAATTTTTTCCATTGTAAGGTTTAAGAACTAATTGAAGCAAAATTAGGGAGGTGAACTTACTAAAGTGAAATTCAATGTTTTTTATTTATTTCATAAATGATCACCGACATAACTCTTCTATAAATTTATTTATCTTATTTAATAAATATAAGATTTTAATAATAATTTTCATGATCTACTACATAATTAATTGGCAACCACAAATCTTTTGTATATTTCTTTGAATTACAATAAGTTTCAATCTATTGTAATATTTCATTTAGTTTATATCATACTCTTTATTATTATTATTATTATTCCTAAAAAAATTTATTATTTCCATATATTGTTCTGTTGTATTATAATATTAAAATAAAATCAAAATATTTTTGTAAGTATACTAAGAACCCATTCATGATTTCCAACAAGATCTGCTTATTTTTTTTAAATATACGTTTCAGCATTTTTTATTAATTAATATTTAAAAAAGTTAAATACAAAAATACAACTTTAACATAAAATAAATTCAGTAACAAAATCCTAATAACAACATCATAAATTTTTTTACTAATAACAAACATCAACTAAATTTTAAATATTTATCATTATTTCATAACTTCAATCAACCTAAAACCATACAAAGCAATATCATATATTCATTTGATGCTCATATAAAGCATACTCCCACTGGAGAAATTATTCTATGTGGAAATCGGACGCATAACGTCATCCAGAGACCAACCAAATTGTGTCACGTCAGCGGTATAGAGTCATGGTATCGAGGAGTACCGAACCACGGTATCGAGCACAGGAGTGACGAGGCGCAATCTGATTGGTTTTCGGACAGCATTTGGCATCTACACAGAATAATTAATCCTCCCTCCACTGACCAAACTTTAGTCCCTACTAATCATGAAAGAAAAGTAAGAAAATAAAAAGCCCTTTATGCACCACTTGAAATATTCACATAAAAAACAAGCCCAAAAAGCCTCAAAATACCAAAAGTCACCAACATAGCAATCCATCCACCCACCAAAACCCTCCCGGCCGCCTTCCCCACGGCTGCGCCACCCATCGTTGCTCCGGCAGCACCAAACATAGCCAACCCTATGCTACTAACCACCCCGACCACCACCACCCGTTCCACCCATGACCGAATAAACCCGCCAGCAAGCAACGGCAGCACAGCGCCAAACGCAAAAGCAATCGCAGAGGCGGCGGCAGCCTTCCATGGGTTGGGAAGGCTTTCCTTATTGGTTTTAATATGTGGCTTTAGTTGTGCGGACTCGATGTCGTATTGAGCATAAACAGAGACAAATTCTCCGATGCCCATACTGAAGGCGCCGGCGATGAGGCCAGCGAAGCCGGAGATTAGCATGGCGTGGGAGGATTGATTGAGGGCGCCAATACCTAGCATGAGAGAAGAATTTGATATGAGGCCATCGTTGGCGCCGAGGATGGCGGCTCGAAGCCATTGAGAGCGAGCAGAATAGTTGTCGGTAGTGGAAAGTGGGGAAGTGATCATGGTGGTAGGAATTGCGATGTGGATGGTGGAAGGGAGAGCTGGAGAGGAGGTGGCATGGATGGTGGAGTCTAAGCAAGTAGAAGCCATGCGATTAGAGAGAGAGAAATAGAGAGACGGAAGGAATATGGAAAGCACAAGCCCTGGCAGATGTATTTAAAGCGTGATGCAAAAAATGTTGAGTACTAAAACTCTTTTTTCTTTAATGGCCAAAGCGTTTCTGTTTTGTTGGAAGATCCTTATAATTTCGGTAATTATAATTCGTTTGTTTCTTTGTCTGGTTGCTATTTTTTATGTTCTACTTTTATTTGGAATATTTAACGTTCTTCTGACGGACGACATTTTGCATCATGATATTCGCCTCATTCCCCAATAAGAAATATTTTTCTAATAAACTTAGCGGAAGATGTAACCTATTTATTTTAAATATTTATAAATACTTCTCATTTTATCAAATAATAAATAAATATATATAATAAAAGTATTTTGGCGTCAATTGAATTAACAGGTAAGATAATTATAAATAAATTTACAATTGTTGTGTCCTGAAATATTCACGGTGGTAGAGAAATATAAAATTTAACGTCTTCGCTTTGTATGAAGATCTAGCACACAATCAGATAAAAGAGAGGGCGTAGCATTCTTAATATATACTAGAATTTTTTACATAGAAAACCTCTGAAAAAGGGAGAAAAACTAAGGGGCCTCGCCCAGTTTGAATAAATCAACTAATATTTACAATCAATTACAAATGAGGCCCTTCCTTAGGAGGAAGGCCTTGGTTTGACGTAGCAAATATGCATCATAAATAACACATTTATATGATGGAAATTGGGAGAATATGTATTTACAAAATTATTTAGTCAACAAGACCAAAGTAGGCGGACGATAAAGATTAGAAAGAATGTTGTATAGCGACAAATAATAGAAGGACTGTAATCGATGAAGTAGGTCGGAAAGACCATAGTCATTGAAAAAGGACTAAACGTGCGATGGAGGTCTGAATGACCTTTGTCAGGTGGAAGTCCAACAATAGCTGGTAGCCGGGAGGAAGTTCGACATTAAGTGGTGGCCTGACAAAAGTTTGGTGTTAGTTGGTGGCTAGGAAGAAGTCCTGCATGCGACCGTTGGTGGCCGGAAAGAAGTCTGGCGTTAGTTGGTGGTTGGGCAGAAGTTCGGCTTTAGTTGGTTGCCGAGAATAAATCTGATGTCAGTTGGTGATAGTGAATAAGTCCGACGTTAGTTAACAGCTAGGTGTAAGTCCGACGTCAATCAGTGGCCATGCGAAAGTACAAAGTCATTATGCGGCTAGGTAAAAGTACGGTGTCAGCCATCGGCAGACTTAAAATCCGACAATATTCGGTTGCCGGATGGAAGTCTGGCGATGGTCAAGGAGTCTGGTCACAAGAGGGTTCTCTTCCTTAATTTCATTTCTTCTCTTCTAGCTTGGGTCCCCCTTTCATGAGAAATGAGGGGCTTATTTATAATTTTATGAGAGTGGCATTGTCAGTAATAGGAGGAAAATCAAAGATAAATTGAGAGTAGTTTGAATGGACGATCGATGATAAATCCCTTCATCGTGGACCATTTATAGAGCATTTGGATTCATCTCGTCAAGCTGCTCGATTTAACTATAAGCATGTCACATTTTGAAACTATTTTGTAATCCAAATTATGGATTAAACCTTCTTAATGTGCTTCAGGTCTTTGATTTGGACTCATTTGGACTTGGATTAAGTCAAATTTGATGTTGTTGGGTTCATATTTTCGAGACGTTCAATTCGAATATAAGTTTTCTGAAATCAGAGTTATGATGGTCTCGGATTTAGTTATTGAAGTTTCCAACTTGATTTTGCCTTGAGATTTGTGCCCGATCAAAATAATTTTTTGATGATATGTCAACTAAAAATCTCAAAAAATATTTGTGTCTCGTATTTTTTTATTAATTAAAATAGAAGGATAATATATCATTATATTTATCTTTTTAGTCATCTACTCATAGCTTTAACTTTTATATTGTAATATAGTATGGTGGTCAAAAGGATCATAAAAAAAAAAAAAAACTTTTATATTGTTATATAATATTATAATCAAAATTTTGTCATAATAATTAAATGAAGCACAGTTAAGAAAAATGTAAATTTTTATCTTCACTGAAAAAAAAAAAATCTTAATTTCATTGCAGAATATGTCCTTCAGTTTTTATTTTTGAAAATTTAGACGCAGAGCCCAATTTCTAATCTAAGTATTACTGTAATTTAGATATCAATAGTATTTTATAATTATATGTTTTTTTAGCATTTTTATTGGATAATCAGTATTTAATGTCTTATATTTATATCTTTTGATCATATTTTATTATTTTTTAAAGTTATTAATAAAATTTAAGCATAAACTTTAAACATTCTGAAAAATAAAATAATTTATCCCATGATTTGAAAGAAAATTCTGTGATAAACAGTCATAATAAATATCAATTAATCCATCATCTAAGGCAACGATTAGCAACCATTAAGAAGAAATGCTTAAAAGCCTGACAGGTTAGTTTATTTAAATAATTTAAAGAGCATAAATACACAACATCCGATCTCTAAAGGAGGATAAATTATTGTATGCGGAATCCGAATACATTTGGAGACGAATTCGGATGCGCCACATCACCAGAAGCGCTGGCCCCAGTGACGTGGCATGCCCGAATTCGTCTCAGAACATGTTCGGATTCTGCACACAATAATTTCTCGGAAAGGAGAGGAGAAAAATTAAAAAAAAAAAAAAAAAAAAAAAAAAAAAAAAAAAAAAAAAACTGGTGGTCCACCCACCAATTTATAATTTTAATTAAAGAAAATAGTGATGTCGTCGCCGAAGATAGAAAATGCAGGCGCAGCACTTTCAACTAATAAGGTCGCAACTAAGAGGTTGGCTTTAAAAGGACATTATAGAGCAAACACAAATGTTTTTTTTTAATAAGAAATTCATTGGGTTTAGCACAAATTATGTCGTTTAGATTGAAACTTTTTAATTAAATTCATATTTTCCCAACACCAATTTCAACGAACTTAAAGTCAAATCTAACATCTTAATGGGAAGAATCCAACAACATCAAAAGTGTTCTCATTCAAATCTAATAAAAAAATCATTTATAATAGTTTATTAAAGAGTTTTTAGTTCTATTTCTATTTTTCTTAAGACAAGTAAAATCAAATACATCTACTCTCTTAATTAGGTCAATGAAAGCTAATGTTTGTTATGAAGAAAATAGCTAAGTTAACTCTCTCTAATCTTAGGATCGATAATTGATTAAGTAAGGGTAGTTGCGGCCCTCGTTTGCTAGGGTTTTTTTGTGCACCCCTTGTCTGGGGGCGCGTCCGCCCCTGGTCGTCTGCTCGTTCCGCCAAGGAAGTGCTTTTTTCTTCCTTTTATGTTGTATGTGCTTCTCTTTTCTTGATTTGTCTTCTCTGTTTCTCTGCCTCATGGCGGTTAAGCTCGCCGATTCGGGTTTTCTCGATCGCAATTCCAACTCTCACTCTTTCATTGAAGCCCTTAAGGGAAGCTCTTCTGGGATTTTTCCGGATCTTAAACAATCTTCTTTTAGTGGTTTTCCCTCTCTATGGATTTCGAGGAAGAAGTTTGGCCCTAACGGCTCCTTTCGCGTTTTTTCTTTGGTTGGCTATTTCTCTAATTTGAGGCCTTCTTTGGATTATATTAAACGTTTTATCTTTAACTTAAAATTGACCGGTTAATTTTTTGTAACTTTGCTGTATTCCCGTCATGTGTTGATCAAACTCCGTAGCGATTTGGACTATTTTCGTGTTTTTGCGCATGGTTCATATTTGGTTAGAAATTGCTTTATGAAGCTTACAAAATGGTCTCCTTTTGTGGACATTTCTGAGGAATCTCTGATTGTTCTAGTCTGGGTCTCCTTCCTGAACCTTAGGCCACATTTCTTCTCTTCCCATATCCTCCATGGCCTTGGTTCTCTGTTTGGTCGTCCCTTTAAGGTTGATATTGCCATGGCTATAGGGTCTAGGCCATCGGTTGCCAGAATCCTAGTTGAGCTTGATATTACTAAGCGTTACTCAAATAAGGTTTGGGTTGGTCCTGAGAAATTAGGTTATTTCCAAGCGGTTGTGCTGGATGATTTCCCCTCATTCTATGTTCATTGTAAGGCGATTGGTCATGCTCGGCATGATTGTCCGAAATCACTTCCCCGGGTTGATCTGGGGAATCGTTCGAATGCTGGTGCAAGTCTTAATGTTCTGGGTGCTAACGATAATGTGGGCGTTAATGTTAATTATGTAGTCTCTAGTGCTGGTGGTGGCATTGAGGTTTTGGCTACTAGCGTTATTGTTGTTGATATTGATCATGTGTCTGATATTGAGCCCGTCATGGGGGCTCAGCTTCTGGAGAATAGTGTTCTGGTTATTATGGATACTGCTAATCTGATTGATCCTGCTGCCATCGATTCCTCTGTGCAGGTTTGTGAGGATGTTGCGGTTGGGGTCTTACCTCCTATTCAGGTGAATCGAGCTTGTAATAGTCTTGATGGTCATTTGGGTTGTGCTTTAAATTCTTGTCCCGTTTTGTCGGTGGTTGGGGCTGTGTCCGCCCCGTCTGTCTTTCCTCCTGTGATTGTGGAATTCCTGGATGGTTCGCTTCCAGCCCCTACTTTGTTAGGTGGCGCTTGCTCGGTTTCACCTTTGGTTGTGCATCTTGAGGGTTCTGCTAGTACTCTTATCCCCACCGTCTCTTCCCCTATTGTCTCTCCCCCTATTTTGCATGATGGATTAGTTCCTAATGCTTTTGTTGATGTTCTAGCGTTGATGTGAGGATTCATCTTGATTGACTTCACTGTTCGTCAGAGTATGAGTCCGAGTCCGTCTCTTCTTCTAAGTCTTTTGGGGGTGTTGATCACGGGAAGGATGACAGACCGGTTGTTTCTCGTAGGAGGGCTCGTGGGAGAGGCATAAGGGTAGGTAACCTTCCTCCCAGTTGGTTGCCTTCATGTTTATCTTGTTGGATGCCTTATCTGTTAGTCTTTTGGTTTTGATTTTTTTTGGTCCTTTGGCTATTGGGCACTTGGGCTTTATTCTTAATGCTTGGTATATGGCTGGAAGCACATTATGCTGGTGCATTGGAGATTCAATTTTTTTATTTATGTTTGCAATTTTTTTCAAAGGGAAATGATGTGGCTGTGACTCGT